GTTGTGAGAAACATGGAGGCTGCCATTGCTAACTTCTCTCTGAATGTACTAGTTTCCTGGCTGTCATACGGATCCCTGGCTATCCTACTGACTCGGAACAAGTATCCAGATTAGGCTATCTGAATTTACTCTGACAGTCAGTGTCTCACTGCACAAAAGCCACAGAGATCCAGACAGAATACATCTCATAATTGAAACATGAAGGTTCCATGCCCATCAGAATGCAGATATTAATGCTATCATTCTGTTAGACCAAGCCCCCCTACCCATGTTTACATTTTTCCTACATATTGCTAGGTGTTGTTGGTGACTTAAAGCTTCGCAAAAGACAGATTTCACTTCTTATGATATTATTTCCAACCATGCGAGTTTTGCAGGTCATACATTACATTTATAACTTGTGCCAAGATCAGAAAAGCTTCAAGCTTTTCAAGCTACAGACAGCCTGCTAAACAGATCCCTAGTGTGTCATTTATATTTGATCTCCTTGCATGTTTAATGATTAGTAATATACACTTTGCAAAGTGTCTGTTTGGCACCACTTTGGGATTTAAAAACTATTCATAATTCCACATTTAAACTCCTCAATAGTGAGGAACTGTTGGTAGAGTATCATAGAATCTAAGTTCCATCCTAAATGTCATTATTAGGTGTAGGATCCCAATACTCACTAATCACTGGCAGAGGGACTTACAAAAGCTTTCTCACCAACTGGGAACAATTGCAGTCTTGGACAACCCAGATTGCTGGACACAGATTATTGAGCCCTACTTACAGTGAGGCTGGGTTCACACCTAGGCGTATTGCAAAAGTGCGACCGTCGCGCGGTTTTTTTAACCGCGATTCGCGGTAAAAAAGACGTGCGACCGTCGCGCGATGCCAAAAGGCTACTTGGCTGTATTCCAATGGAAAACGCCCTACAAAACGGCCCAAAGTAGTGCCTGTACCTTTTCAGGCGTGGGCCGTTTTGTAGCGCGTTCGGGACAGGCGGAAATACGGCAAGGTGGGAACGAGTCCATTGACTCCAATGCAATTTATATTTTTGAGCGTTTTGTAGCGTAGAACGCGCTACAAAACGTTCAGGTGTGAACGAGGGCTAAATGATGTCATCCTACTCCAACTAATGAAGGCACTTGGCACTACTCCTATTACGTTTTCATTTAATTCAGGTGCATTTAAAGACTATTATCAGCATCCATGTATTGAAAAGTGTTTAGAAGATATTATTTTAAGCAGATTGAAACTCAATGATAATTAATTAAATTCTGTTCAATGACAACCTAGAAATAGAACAGAAAAAAAAGGCAAAGCTATTTGTATTTACTTTAGTGGTGATGCTTTTCTGGGGTTCAGCTACAAGTTCCTCACTGCTTTCTTTTGGATCTTCGTTTACAATCTCTGCCACCTCTGGACCATCTGCCTCCAGGTTCTTTGTCGGTTCTCCTGGACACAGGCTGCCTGAGGACAACCAGTCATGGGCTTTCTTCCTGGCCTGCAGAGAGGAATGCACCAAAAGCTTTACCTGGATAGCTTTTTAGAAACCAAAATGCAAATAAACAGGAAATGAAAATGAAAGGGAAAGCATTGCTATAGGTTACAGCAATATCAGAAAAAACTGAAACTATTAAAAAAATATACAGACTTACTTTAAAAAGTCAAGCAGCCTAAAATGCAAATATATTGTAGAACTGTGGCGATGAAATCCATCCATATGTAACAAAAATACAACTGACCTTATTTAGTTTGTCAGGTGTAGCAGCAACATGGAGCTCAAATAACAATTCAGTAAGCATGCCGGCAAACTCTTCTTTCTCTTCCTCTGTACAAAAAAATACAATATATCTTATAACCATTGCAATCCTGTATCTCACAGGTAGAGGAATCTCAGCCTCTGATATTTTTTTTATCATAAACCTTCTTACAACCAATTAACAGAATCATGTTATTTATGTCTTTGTATTCTCCAGGCACACAACTACTGGTGTCATGAGTCCAGTCTGCTCCCGTATGCTTTTCTGGCTTTCAGAAACTGATAGCACAATATAGTGCGCCCTTCGGTAATCATTATAGATGCCCAAAGACAGTTGCTGACAGTCAAAGTGGACCAGGAAGGTGGGCAAAAATATTATAGATTTTCTGTGTAAGGGCACCCTAACTGCCTCCAACGGCTTGCCTTCTTTCCTTAGTGCATCCTGGTGCCATCTCCACCCCAGGTAAGCGATATACAAACACCCAGCCATCCACATGATGTAAAAGAGAACTTGATTCATCAGATCAAACCACCTTCTTCCATTGTTCTGTGGTCCACTTCCAATGCTCACGTACCCATGGTAGGCGCTTTTGGCAGTGGATACGGTTCAGCATGGGCTCCCTGACTGGTCTGTGGCTATGCAGCCCCATATGCATCAAACTGCGATGCACTGTGTGTTAAGACACCTTTTTATTGGAATCATCATTAAACTTTTTTTTAGCAATTGAGCTACAGTAGCTCTTCTAATGGATCGGACTACACAGGCCAGCTTTCACTCCCCACGTGTATCAATGAACCTTGGCCGCCCATGACCCTGTCGCCAGTTCACTGGTTTTCCTTCCTTGGACCACTTTTGGTAGGTCCTGACCACTGCAGACCGGAACATCCCACAAGAGCTGCAGTTTTGGAGTTGCTCTGACCCAGTTGTCTAGTCATCACAATTTGGGCCTTGCCAAAGTTGCTCAAATCCTTATGTTTGCCCATTTTTTCTATTTCCAACACATCACCCTCGGGGACAAAATGTTCACTTGCTGCCAAATATATCCCACCCACTTCTAGGTGTCATTGTAATGAGGTACAATGTTATTTACGTCGCCTCTCTGTTGATCGGTATAATTATCCTAAGGGAAGCACATTTGGACATATTCAATACAGTAGAGCAAAGATCAATAATAAAGTACCAACCATTAAAACCCATAGTGTCAATCAATGTCCAATTTCAGTTGCTATGACTTACTCATGCTTTTCTTTACTGCATATGAAAATAATACCTTCTTTGCTAGATTCTTCTCCATTTTCAAAGTCTTTCTGAAGGAAAATCTCTTTGATTGCGATAAGTTCTACTTTTAGTGTTTCCAGCTGTTCCTCGTTTAGTGATGATAAATAATCTTGGACCTATAGGAACACATGATCACTATTCCAGGATTTTTCACCTTTTCTTTTTTATTTGCACATTCAAACATTTTCAGCATTAATTACAAAGAAAAGTAATACAATTGATCCTGTAACAAGCCTCTGAAAATTCACTTTACCAGACAGAATGTAATTTTTGACAGACATCAGAAAGGAAGCTTTATGGGGTCTATTCACTAAGCTGCCGTAGGCAGCCGAGTGAACGACCGACCTGAAGCGAAGTGAGCCGAACTCCGTTCAGCTATTCACTTCAGGCTGGTACGGCCGATTTCAGCTGTATATCGGCTGAAATCAGCCGTACAATGTGCT